GGTGCTGTACCTTCTCGTGGTCCTCCCTGTAAGTATAGTGGTATTCCTAAGGTGCTTTCTGATCTTTGAGATTGAATTTAGCTTAACATTCCACGAAACCAAACAACACAAAACCGACTGCCAGACGTCCCATGTAGACCTCCTGGCATACTCGGCAAAACAGCCCTTCTCAGGGCTACCCTGACCCACGCGATATTCGCGTAAGCCATAACACAACACCTAAACCTTTCAAAAATAAATTTCGAAAACTAAATTTCAATAACAAAAACAAAAATAAACAGACTTTTCATGATAGGTCAAGAGCCTTAAACATAACCAATAAAGAACATTACTCCCCAGATTGTAATGACTCACAGAAAAACATAAGAATCATACACCTTAACATAGAAGGTTTAACAAGCTCTAAAGCAGAAATACTAGGTAAAACCTTTAGCAACGCCGACGTGCTAGCCCTACAAGACACTCACATCCCAGACGGAGAAACAAGGCGTCTGAGGATCCCTGGATTCAGGTTGATCGACTACATTGGGCATCCAAAGCATGGCCTGGCCACCTATGTTAACCATAAGGTGGAGGATCGCCTTGACAATCCAGTTACTGGTAACGAACATACAGTTGGTATTCGTTTGGATAACCTCATCATCTACAATGTATATAAGCCTCCTTCAACCAACTGGTCCCACTACATGCTTCCAACACCTCAATGTCCTACAGTATACGTCGGAGATTTCAATTCTCATAGCACCAACTGGGACTATACAACTGAAAATGAAGATGGAGAACGGCTATGTAACTGGGCGACACTCAACCGCCTGCACCTATTATACGACGCCAAACAAGGCGGCACCTTCGTTTCTGGCAGATGGGGCACAGCAACAACTCCTGACCTTTGTTTTGTAACAACAGACATCCATCATCAACCCTTAAGAGCTTCCCGCACTATTTTACATAACTTCCCTAGAACACAGCACAAACCAGTAGCAATAGACATAGGTGTACACCTACCAAGAATTGAGAAACCATTTATGCCAAGGTGGAACCTACGCAAGGCAAAGTGGGAAGACTATACAAGCTATATGGAGAAGAACATCAACTGTATACCTCCTTTGCCGGAGAATTACCCTAGGTTTGTCAAACTAGTTAAAAAAGCAGCGAGCACCGCCATTCCAAGAGGCCACAGGCAAAATTATATTCCGTGCTGGAACAGGGAGTGTGATTCTTTACTGAAGGAATATGAACATACAGGAGATGAGACTAGCTAATTAAGTCTTTGGACAACGAAAGAATGAACAGATGGATTACGGYAATGGATAATATGGATTTCACCCACTCAAGTAGAAAGAGCTGGGAACTCCTGAGGAAACTGGGGGCCGCCCAACCCTCAAAGAAAAACGGCAACGTCACAGCAAATGTCATATCAAGCATCATCTACAAGACGTCCAATATTAAGCCAAATAAACATGAAAAATCCGAAGTAAAGAGGAAATTCAAGGAGACACTCGAGGAGTGCGAAGATAGATCAGAGCTGGCGTCAGATTTTACTCCAGACGAGGTACAAACCGCCTTAAAATTAGTTAAAAATGGAAAAGCAGCAGGGGCGGATGGAATCCTCCCAGAGTTTCTCAAAAACGTTGGTCCCAAATGCATCAACTGGATTGCAAAACTCGCCACCGAGATTGGGAATTATGGTAAGATACCGAAACTCGGATGATGTAGCATTAGTTACACAAGCCACATCCTTTGAAGAAATCGAAAGTGTATTGAACGCAGACGTGGCAAAAGTAAAAAAGTACTTTCAGAAATGGCAACTCAAGTTGAACCCAAATAAATCAGTAACATGCGCTTTCCACTTAAACAACCGAGAAGCCAGTAGAACACTAAACATAGTAATCGAAGACCAAAAAATCACCACTGAAGAAGCACCAAAATATCTAGGGGTAAGAATGGACAGAACTTTAATCTTCAGACAGCACCTTGAAAGCGTGAAAGATAAAATAAAAACACGTAATAACATTATTGCCAAGCTAGCAGGCACAAGCTGGGGCTGCCACGCAAACGTGCTCCGCACTTYTGCTCYAGCCYTAGTGTACAGCGTGGCAGACTACTGTGCCCCTGTGTGGGCCAGAAGCGCGCATTGCAAGAAGGTAGACGTACAGTTGAATAACACCATGTGAATCATAACAGGCACCGTGAGATCAACCCAACTAGATTGGTTGCCGGTACTGTCTAATATAGACCTACGCAGGCATGTCCAGACTGAGTCAATGATACTGAAACTGAGCAACTATCCAGACTTACCTGTACAAATAGAAATAGCAAACCACCCACCCAAGAGACTTAGTTCCGGAAAACCTATATGGGGCATGGCATGGTCAAATAAATCAATAGAGGAGATGTGGGCAAACAAATGGACAAACACTAACGTCCGAAACCATTTCTTAGTTAGCGTCCCTGATAGCAGAGTACCTGGGTTCGAGCTCAGTCGAGCACAATGAACGGCCCTAAACCGAATAAGAACTGGGCAAGCTAGGTGTAACTATCAATTACACAAATGGGGCATGACTGATTCCCCGTTGTGCGAGTGCGGTCTAATACAGACTACAAGCCATATTGTTGAGGAATGTTAAAGAAGAAGATTTGAAGGAGGGATAGCAACTCTACACATCTGCGGACCAATGGCGATCAAATGGCTAGAGGAACTWGATATTCGACTCTAACAACCATGTTTGAAGARCATGTCCWATAATATTTTAGTCTGCTTTGTTTTATTTGTTGTTGTTATTGTTATTAGTCTGTTATATTTTATCTAATATTCTATATATGTATATCTTTTAATTCTGTTAAATTTAAATCTAAATACGAGCTCATGCCGAGTGTCATATGCATAAATAAATAAACCAAATATTGAAGCGCTACATTTGTCCATGATAACGGACCTGTAATTAAATTTTAATTATTTGTATTTATAATTAAAACTAATATCATACAAGAACATTACTAAAAAAAAAAAAAAAAACTGTGAAGAATAGTAGATATTTAGGTTATTTAAAGAACATACGATAGAAGTTTATTAGTATCTAATTGGGAAGTGGGAACATCGTTAATTCAATATTATATTATACTCACTGTCTTCAGAATCAACAGCATCTAAGTTGACGTTTGGGTTTGCTCCTCAACCTCGTCTTCAACTATAATGAATCGAGAATAAAGGTCGACATCTTCTTCTGAACCCGATAAATTATTAAAAATACTCATGTTTAAATTATACCCGAGAAAAAGAACTAGTTAATAATAAATAATAACTAACGAGTAAAGAATAAAAAATACAAATAATGGTATGATAATAAAAATTATAAAAATAAATACTATTATTCCCGCCTAAAATTCGAATATAAAGGGGTAACATTATTACAAGTTGTAATGGGGGAGTGAACGGACACACCATACTAGCGATATGGTTACGTAAAACATGAACGTTTACTGCCAACAGTGTCACCGGTTACCATACAAAATTTCTCTAATCGTTATCGGTTACTATTTTAAGGGGAAATATTCACCGGTTACACATTCCGAATTTCTTGATAAAGTTCTTACCTATGCGTTGTGAAATTCTGATAATTCTATTATAAATACTCAGGGAGAAAAGTTGTCCCGCGCAAGTGCATTTTTTGCTATGTTCTACGTTTGTAAGGCCAGTTATACCAGTCTAGTTTAAACTAGAGATTACCTAAACTTGGTTTAAAAATTAAACTGAGTTTAAATTTGSTATGTTGTTCAATGGTAGTTTAAACTACAGATAGTTAAACTAGGTTTAACAGAGCGGTCAGTGGATTTTATGAACGTTGGGACAACTTACTATACCACATCAATATTATTATTATCAGTGCATTATCACTTCATGTTTAAAAATGATAGCATGATAACATTAATTCAGAATTTCAGAATAATACCTATTATTTATTAATCTTTTGTAGTTTTAAAGTTAATTTATTTGTTCAGGTAATCTTTTTTATTTTATTCAAATATAATTTAATTTTAAAATACGTCATCATACTCGTAGTTATTAAAAAATGACTTACATTAAAAAAAGAGCCACTAAATTTTCTTTCAAAGAAGAGAAAACTTTGCTCGCTCTGGTTAAAAAATATGCTTCAACTATTGAATGTAAAAAAACAGATGTTAACTCAAACAAACTAAAAGCAGCCTYCTATGAAAAATTAGCTATAAAATTTAACAGCGTTTGTGGTGAATGTTATCGATCACCCAAAACTCTTCGTAGTAAGTATGAAAATATAAAAAAATGTGGCAAAACAGCGTTTTCTGATGAAAGAGCATACCTTCGTGGTACTGGTGGGGGACCTGCAAAAACCAGCTCTTCAACAGACATTCAGTCAGAGGTTCAGGAAATCCTTGGGAATCAGATGACTGGTTTCAATTCAGAATTTGACGATGACAGGAATCTTACCATACCGGGAACAGAAARWGTTATGAACTCGAGTASTAACAGTGGTATGATTTTGGCATCAAATACTGGATTGAAACCAATTGATGTAGTTTTGGATTGGTCTGAATATAGCCCAGACATGTTAAGAACTCGTCCATCTCTTATACTTCAACAAAATATGTTTGATGTATCATTTAATGAGGAAAGCAAAAATATAAATAGTGAAGGAGAACCAATGGTTGAAGGTAAATAAAAACATTGCTAAAAAGTAGTTTTACTGATTGTGTAATACTGCAGTTGCCACAACGACTGATTCAACTTTTGACACATTGATATTTATTCCAACTGATAAAATTGGGAATCTACGCTTATAGACTCCAAAACTTCTTTCAATAAAATTTCTCGTTCTTATTATTGATTTATTATATAATTGTTCAGCTCGTGTTGATGCAATTGACAATTTTGTCAACAAAAATGGCCTGATAGGATATCCACTATCACCTATGAGTAAACTATCACCCATTTCTCCCCTCTCAAATTTTCCTCGTATTGGGAAGTTGTTAAAAATTGTTGAACCGTGAGCACTGCCTTGCCATCTTGCTACGATGTTCATAAATTTAAGATTCGAATTACATATTGCCTGGACGTTAAAAGAAAAGTATTGTTTTCGATTTCGATAAATTTCTGCATCCTCCMCTCCGGGTGATCTAATTTTAATATGAGTGCAATCAATAACACCAATGCACCTTGGAAATTTACRTTTTGAAAAGAACTCTTGCCTAGTTACTGAGATTTCTTCTTCTGTTTCGGGAAACCTAATAAACTTTGAACTAAGTCTAGCTATAGCWCTTGATACACGTGTTATAGTTCTTGAAGCAGTTGATTTATGCACACCCACAAAATCACCACACACAACAAGAAACGAACCTGACGCAAAATACCTCAAAGTCATTAGTACCATTTGTTTTGATATAACGGCGAAGTTCCTGAAAAATTATAAAATCAATGTAATACTTCTTAAGTTAAAACTAAAATAAAATAGCAATTATGCAGAATCAGTGGTGAGTTATTTAAATGCAAATTCTGAGGGGAAAGCTTAGTTGTACATAACTTTAATTACCTGTCTGTTGGATGTTTGATTTCTGATTGAATTAGATCATGTACATATAATACTGCTTGTTTTGATGGCCGAAACCTTTCAACAAACTCAAAATCACGAAGACATAGAAAATAATCTGGACGCTGCCTGATTATTCTTGGTATTCGTTCATTCGCAATCAAGTTTATAAGTTCAACAAAATCCTCATCCTCCRATATTTCGTTATTCATTTTTATATAAATATAAATTAAAAAATAAATATAATTAATGATTCTTTGCACAAAATATTGTTTTAACACAAATTATCAGTATCATAATTCATAATTATCAAAATGTATGCATGATGGATCTATGGCAAAAATATTGCTAAACCTAGTTTAAACCATTGAGATCGGCGGTTTATCTAAACTTGCTTTTAAACTGGGTTTAAGCGTTAAACTAATCTTGTACAACATGTGATTTGGTCTTAAACCGAGTTTAAGAAAAATCTTATTTAAACTTAGTTTAAACTAGACTGGTACAACTGGCCCTAAGACGGAAACAACGCATACGGTGATGCGTGTGAAGTTGGCCCCCCCACATTGTCCAATTTACTCCAAACCTCCGCCATTATTTTGAAAATAATTTGAAAATATTTGAAAACCATGTTTCAGAATTTGAAAACTATTATTTTCACCGCAAAAAGCTTTTTTGAGTTGGGGGGGCCAAGTTCACGCAGCCCCCCCATGT